AATCTCTTTCTCTAGTAGCAGCTTTTCAAACAAACCATGACATCCGGAGAAAGTATGTTACTATCCAGACAAACAGCATATCAGCCCGTCTTCAAACTGACGCCGTATCGAATATCACCTTACTGTCTAGAGAAACGCATAACTTGCTGGGAAAACCGCCGTTGAATTCATCTAAGAAAATGGCTAAAAATACATCAGGTGGTGTGCTAAAACTGGTTTGTGAATTTTCCTTCAATGCAACTTAATGTTAAGGACTTTGTTATCTAAAAGAACGGCCAAACCTTGATCTTCTTGGTCTAGATGTGTTAGAAAAACTTAGAATAATGGATGCACCCATTAACAGTGTCTACAACGTAGCGTGTTGATCATTGAACACTCCATCACTTGCAAAGAAGGCAGGTGAAAAATTACTAGAAAAACTGTTGAGAAAGTTAATCTCTGTTTTTCAGAACAACTTTGGCCACTGTACCAAGAAGAAAGCTCACCCACCAGTGAAAGCAGATGCCAAACCTAGTTCTCGTCCGAGAAGTTCTCTACCATATGCTGCTCTTGAACTAGCAGATCAAGAACTTAATCGCTTGCAACATGCTTGTGTAATCTAAACAGTCAACTACTCTGCATCGGCCACACCGATTGTAGCGATTAAGAAGGCCATTGGAGCTATACGCATATTTGCCGATTTCTCGACCGGTTTAAATGCTACATTGGATGTATGCGTAAAACATAAATATACTAGCGTTTTTCCTATTGTGTTTCTTACTTCCATCTAACCTTGTTATTTGGAACATAATCTCTTTCCTGTTCAACCGTTTTCTGATTTGAGGACCTGTCGAGTAAAGAATTCTAAGCAATAGGAGTAGCTTAGTTCTAATAAGACCGAATTATAACGGGTATCTTGATGAAGTATCATTCCTGCCAGTCTATCGAAAAGTGCTCCACCTCACGTCTTCCTGGATAGAACGTGGAGCATGTTTGAAATTACCTCTATGTTTGATTTCAGTGCTTCGGCTGATATGTTGTCAGGTCCTTCTGTTTTTTTTTCCGCACTTGATTTGTCTGATGTCTGTGTGTGCTTTTTCGATGTCTGGTGGATTCAATGGAGCCGGTCTACTCAAGTGTTCCTCAAAGTACTCTATTAACCTGTTCCTCTGTTATTAAATTTCAGTGATTGAATTGCCTTCTTTGTCCTTGGCCGGTCTCTCTGGTTTACCGTATCTCCCCGCTAGTTTCTTCATTGTATCATAAAGCTGTCTCATATTTTCTTCTCTTGCAGCTTTTCCGCTGTCTTTGTTGGGTCTTCTAAATATTTCTGCTTGTCAGCTCCAATGTTCTTCTTCACTTGCTTTTGTATTCAACTTGTGTCTTGACTTTCTCTGCTCGTGTTGGGATATTGTTAACTGCTACCTTTCTGTTCGTCCTTCCTTGAATCCTGTTCAGGGTTTCGATAGAGATCCACTCCTTATGATGATGCTTTTTGCGGCTCAGCAATTCCTGGCACGTTGAAGTTAATGCTTCTTTTATCCCTTTCCAGTTGTCCTCCATCGTAGTTTCTTTTTCTTTCTGTAGATCCCGTAAGGCTTGGAACCTGTTGTCTAGAGATATCTTGAGTTCGTTGAGTTTGTTAAGGTCTCGTAGAGAGGTTGTATTCAATCTTTGTAGTGCTGTTTCCCCGGCTGTCTAGTGTTACTTTAACTTCAGTTTCATTTTGACCAAAACCAGGTGGTGGTCTGAAGCTGCGTCAGTTCTTCTCCTGGTCCCCACATCTTCTATTGTCCTGAATTTTTGTTGGTATAAATATGATCTATCTGGTTTTCCGTGGTGTGGTCCGATGAGGTCCATGTAGTTTGTGTATGCGTTTGTGTGGTAATATTTTGCCGTCTATAAGCCATTCGTTGAGTGCACATAGGTTTGTGAATCTCTCTCCATTTTTATTCTCTCTCCCAGTGCATGCCGTCCCATGATATCTTCACATCCAATGCTATCTATCCCGACTTTGGCGTTTAGGTCTCCCATCAGGATGGGGCGATCCTTAAGTGGGCACTTCGCTATGATTGTTTGCAGCCTCTCACAGAACTGATCCTTATTGCATTCGTTGCTATCACTGACTTGTGCACAACCCTGGGTAACATTCATAGTGATTCCCACCTCCTTTGTCTTGAAGGATATCTCGGTGATCCTGAATCCATGAGACTCCCACCCAATAAGTGCATTTCGTGCTTGTTTGGATAGTATCAGAGCAACTCCCTAACTGTTTGGAACATTTTCTTCATAACCAGAGTACAACAGCATCTCTCCTGTACCTAACCTTTGCTTTCCAGCATGACTCCAATGAATTTCACTGATTCGGAGCGCCGCCACGTCTTATCTCCTAATTTCCGTGGCACTTTGGCTGATCTCCTGGCTTCCCTGAGTGTCCGAACGTTCCAAATACTTATGTTAACTGTTTCTCTGGTTGTCAGAATGAGCATCGGCCTTGTGAATTTCAAAGAATCTTGACACTCAATATTAGGTGTCATATTTCTTACAGATAACGATGCTTCAACTCCCAAGACAGAGTTTAAATGATTTTCTTCTGGTAAGCGTTTCTTTTGTAGGGTTGTTTTCCACGGGATGGGAATGCCGACCTTATGATCAACCCTACTCATTTACTCTGACTTGGAACCATCAGTCACCCTAGAAAAGTTACAGGTGGAGCTCGTGATTCCGATAGGCGCCTAAAATAAGATGTGTGCCCGTATAAGAATGGTCTGTATGCATTGTTTTTATACTGTAGGACGGTTTTAATGGGAACGTGCTGACTTATTCGATCAAAGGGACTTCAGTCCTCCAAATATCATATCGGGTGTTATGTGTGTGTTGCCTGTATCTTTAATTAGTACCTCAGCGTTAGCGTACTAATGTTGTGTGAAAGCTCAGGTTGGCGATGGAATCAATTTGACGTTGTCTTGCCCGGGAATAAAAGAGCGGTCACCCTGAGTACTTGTTTCGTTTTTATATGAAGTGTGTTTTTATGTACGTAAGGCTGTATTTGTCCATCATAAATTAAAAGATTCCGAGCTCCACTATAGAGCCACTAAGGATGGAAACAATGTGACTTCTATATAAATATTAGAGTCAAATCATGACCAGTCGGTTTCATCAGATCAGGATTCTACAATCTAAACGACTGATTGTTCTACTGAGATAACATTATGGTTAGTTAGAATACGACGGCAAGTTATTACATAACTGTCTGCTGGTAATTATTTATACCTGGTCTTTTGTTGAAATATAACATGTTTATTTCTTAAGATTTAGTAGATGTAAATTCCCTCATATTCACATTCTTATAACCGCTCACATTGTGATGAACGAGAACTCAAGTATGGTAAACCAATTTATTGTCTTATGCAAAATTATACAGTACCCTTTTAGTAATGACAATAATGCATCAAATACATCATTTACATATCTTCCTTGAGTCGTCCTTCACAAAATTCAGCATTCTTTGAATCCTGTTGTTATTCCGTTTGTTCTTTGTTTTCTTTCCCCTTCTCTTTATTTCAATTTTCCACTTTCAATCCCTGTTACATATTACTTTAATTCATCTGGATACGTGATGCACTCTATAACATGATCCAAAGTGTTTGTTTGTTTGGAACTATGGTGTTATACATACGACACCACTTGCTCTATTTTACAATCATAGCTACAGGATAAAATAGTATTGGGGTAATATCCTTATAGATTTTAAAAACCTGTCGAAATGTTGTAAATACTATGTAAACATTTTGAAACTCGTTTCTGACTGTATTTATGACGAAACTCGAGATGGCTTTTTCACAACGGTTAGGTATGTGTAGGTTACTAGAGCATAATAATTATAGCTTATATGTGTTCGTTCAGTGACTGATGGTTGGACTGAATCTGAGCAGCTGATTTAAAAAAGATTCTTAGAAGAGAAACGTAACGAGTCCTTGTTTAACGTAAAACTCCCTTTTATACTTGGCAGGACGGGGATTTAGTACACTTGTGTGCTCATTCGCAGGTTTTTAAATCGATAACAGGAACTAATTTTGTGACCACTAAAGGGATACGTTTGATGTTTGTGCTGACGGATAGTCCCTTTCAGGTCTTTTATTAGACAGTTATGAGTTAATAGTTAGCATACTGAATTTGGTCACTGCTAGTTGTCATAATACGATTCAAAACGTTTTTACCCCTCGAATATGGGTGAAAACACCATGTTTCTGCACTCTGAATGACATGACAAAAGATTCGTGAAGACCAAAATAAACCCTTAGATTTCAGACCGTTCGAAAAGCACTGTTAGTAGTCAGGAACTAATTTACCCATATGTGGTTTAAGCGTATACGTCTTTCATACGGTGATAAGAGACGGTTCCTCGTTTAAAGTGGAGGTACCGAAGACTTCAGATCTGTAGATTTGAGGCAGTTCATCCAATTCATACTCTGAAGCAAATGGAAAGGTTTAGCCTTGGTCGGACCCACATGAAAATTCCTTCGTCGTTCAACAGACAAAAATAAGAAATATGATAAGGGAAGTAAATAAGTTTCCTGGTGTTTCTAGTGTAACGGCAGGTTGCCGGTCAACTCACCTGCTTAGGTATTCGCCTAAACTTGCTACAAGGCCTAATGTTGTGCGAAATTAGGAGTGAAAACACTTTCTACCAAGGGATATTTGATAATGCGTTATCCATCATACTTATACTTCACATTACATCCAAGATGAATGGCCTACCAAGTCATAGAATTAAAAGTTAGTGTAATGTCGTTTGTCCTAATGTTAAGTAGTCTCAGATCCTCATGAAGAAACAAGCAATCGTCATACTACCCAACGCTTTTCATCGTCAGGAAAAAAGAAACTCAGAATACACCTGTGAGACCAAGTCATGTACGCCAATTAAATAGATTGATGACCGCAACACATGCAAGTCAACCTCTTCCTAAGTTTCGAGGAACATGACAGAAAGTTTTAGGTTAGTAGTTTGAGTATGCGTCACAGGCGGGCTTTCTGATAATAATGTGAGGATGTGCCGGTCATCGGTCCAGACGTTATTTCTCGTCTTCGTGTATATTGTTTTCCGTTCTTTGAATATACGATCAAACTTAAGGCCTTTTAGTCTGTGGAGCAGTGACAATGTTTTGTTTATAGTCCAAACTTCCGGACATATGAGTTGATGGATTCAAACTCTTCGAATTCGGGTTAAATGCTTCAGTTTGCCATAACGGACCATAATTTGTCTTCAAAACACGTTATTTTTAGTTTCTCACAAAGGTTCAGCTCTTCACAAGCTCAGGGAGTGTATATCTAAAGAAAGAAATTTTAATCCCACAGATAGTGTTAAGTACTAGTCCCATGGGTAGATTTGGCTTAAAAATTCTCCTATTGTAGTAATAAAGTAGAAAGATAAAAATCTGAATATGTTTGGCCACATGACACTACTTAGTAAGCGTTTTCTCAGTCAGTTCGCGACTTGTTTCTTTGATTGGTTTCACCGTGTGGATAGTTCTTTATTACGTTGTCCTAATTAGTTTAATATAACTAGCTGGCTATCATGGCTCCTGTAACTGATTTTTTGCCTACAGTTGTCTCGCGTGTGTACTTGTAAGACGAGTGGCCATATTTTCCACTTTGTTCTCACGGTTAGTTAGTCGAGATTTTCCCTGTATTGCTCCAGTACATTGAACTCAGGTTGGTCCATTATTGTATTTTACTTCGAAAATGTTAAGAATGAGGATGCTTCACTGGTTTTTAAGCAGTAAACGACAGGTTTCATATTTATCCACTGAATGTTTCTCTTGACAGACTATAAAAGACTTCGTTACTAGAATATTTAGCTATTTGTGCAAGCAATATGTAGCCTCGAAGTTAATCCCCTGACAATCTAAGAGGGTCCCAATGGGTGGTTAGGGTGTATGCATAACATCAACTAAGGTGTCATCGGTACTCTTAATGTTCCTCCATATATATTCATGCCTCGTAATATAATAAAACTTAAGTCTGAACTATCTTGGTGACTCGCTCTTAGTAACTTTCCAAAGTAGTGGATTTTCAACATAAAGTTTGCGGTTTCAAATCTAGTTCCCAGTATTGAGCGTTAAATAGTTTATTTTTATTTCCAGGGAAAACGTGGAGTCACGAATTACTGATAAAAGTAAATACCGGCCAGCTAATTAACTGCCTAATAGAATATGTACTAGATTCTCACTTAAAGCCTGATGAGGCAGAGGAAGGAGAGGTCAACGATTTGTCTGACCAAGAAGATAATGTCTCAGGTATGAGGTTTAATAATGACTTAGTCGTCTTCAGACTTTTCGAGTAACAGCGGTTCATCAAAGTCTTACAACAACCCATCACCAAAGCATGGAGATGAGAGCTGTACGTCAGAAATGTCACAAAACGGGGGATCATCAGTTTCTACGCTAAATATACCATCAGTACATCATAGCCGGTCCCATAAAAGTAGACCTGTCAAAATAACGGATACTGCCAATGTGTCAAAGAAAACAAATACAAGTCCTGCTAATACCAAATCAGAAGTTCGTGGTCAAACTTCGTCTCATGAAAACCAAACAACTAAGTTGCAGTCTATAGTCAATTGTGCTAGGGCTTCAGGTAAGAATCTACAGCATTCAAAATATCCTTTAGATCCACAAATATTGTCGGAACAGGTTGAACCATTTCATACCTCAATGTCTGTTAAGTCAACTAAACATCTTCAGGGTCTACGGGACTTAGAAAAGGTGCAGCTACAGATGCAACTAGAGGTTGCAACTAATCAAGTAAACTGATATCATTTTAAACGTTTCCTGTTCTGATATACATCTAGGTTTTACATGCGATGTTTTTACCTATTTAATTTATTGCATTGCACTTATAGTATCTTCGCCCTCTGAAGACATTACTCTTCAACCACCTGCGATTTCGTTACATGTGTTTGCTTATCACTAAAGGGATGACAGTTACAAGACCTGGACCTGGTCTCATGAAAATAAACGAAACTAGAAAGGAACAAGCTACGCAATCATAGTAACATAAAGCAGAATCATTTGGCATAAAACCCGATACTCTAATGGCATCTGTAACGCCTCGCAACAACCTTTTGCACATAAATAAGACCAGTGAATCTTGATGATTCCCTGATTAATGGACGTGTAAAGGTCAATTTCCTCTATATCTGACTCCAATAAATAGTGTCGCGTTAACTGAGTATTTACGCAGGCTAAATCTCCAATAGTATGGATTTACTCGAGATTATTCAAAAACCCGAAACGCCAGTTGTAGCGATAGTTTATTGTTGATGATTAGTAAACGTCCTCAAGTGCACAGATAGCAAGCACGCAGAGAATAGTGTGTGCTGAAAATCCATATGTACTTATGAGTGTTAGTCGATTGTGGAGAATAGATAAAGATTAATGTACAGACATGTGCCCAATTGGACCCACACAATTTTGCACAATGGATTAAATGTCTAAATTACAGCGAGTAGACAAATAATTAAATAATTGAGTGGGCTTACCACAGATGCTTTGAAACATGTGGTCGGATTTAAAACATAGGCGAAGGCAAGTCTGCACTTGATTTTAAGCTTGAGTGATGATCGCTGGTATCCATTCGTAAGGGCACTATCAAGGGGACAATCGTTAACAAGGGAGACCCTTAAGAAGGCACATATTTAAAAGGGCGAGTATTAAAAAGGAAAATAAAATTTCTAAGAGTTTGAAATTTAGTCGGTTTACCATTTGTTCTTTTGACTCTACAATCAACCGGAAATGTAGTTCTCTATACATTCAATAGAGGTCTCAACAAAATTCAATGAAACGTTTACATTCAATGAATAATGTAATCTTTTGAACTTAGTAACAATTCGTTATTCTTATTATCTTAGTCATGTCATCCTATACATCTATTTCAACCAGCGGAGCTGAGAATTTATTGGCCTGCCAAATGAATAATATAAGGTTCATATTCATATACTGTTCATACTAGATAGGAAAATAGCGTTTGACTCCTGTTCGGACGACCTTGTGACATTGCCCATCATATCAAACCGTGACAAATCGATAAATTACTTCGCTATAGACTTTCTATTCGACCTTACTAAGGTTAACAAATATTTTATGAATAAGAATAGCTTATTCAACAGTTGATGTGGTATCGGACACACTATGTGATCTGATGATACTAACTAGCTACCCAAACCAAATAATTTAGGGCAGAGTTCCTAATTGCGGCCTAGTAGCTGTACGTCAAACCCCTCAGTCAAATATTCTACTAGAATTGATACGTTCGTTATCTGATATTTTGTGGACTGACCTATTTTTCCTTGAAAGATTCATCAATAACACAGTCTCTCCTAATAAGCATCCTTTGTAGCAACATAGGGTTCGGGATTCGTGTGTCTTTCCAAACTGCTGATTCCGTACTGTTGCATCAGCGTCCCGATTGAATGTATACCATAGAGTAGTTGAGCACGTCAGCTATGTAGTCGGTAACTTTATTTTTGTGTATTGAACTTCTGGCCACCTAGGGAATTCAGTTTTCCTCCACGTGGTTGTATGCAAATCTATAATTTATATGTACTTTTAATTGAATGTTTCATTTTCATATTAAAAAAATATTTTAAAGCATTTATTTTGGTGATTACCAGTATTCGGTGTTTTAGATTAAATTTTTAACCGTGTGTGACAGGATTTTACGGTGTATTATAACCGAAGGCTACTACACATCCTTCAATTCTTCAACTCCATTTTCTATCCATTTCAGAATGAACATAATCATACTTCTACTCCCTATCCCAGTTCCTCTCAACAAGGTATGTGCATTTTTAATCTTAATTTTTGCGAGCGTTTTATCTTTTCTGCTGTTGTCTTTTATAAAGGCAACTATAAATTTAATTATGTGTACCTGAAGGCAAGAGAAACTCAGTGACAAACTGCCATTTACAACCAGACACAAATTGTTTTTAGCTCATTAATATTCATGTTTAGCTCTTTAGATTTGAAGCTATATTTGAATACCTACCCGAGATATATGAACTAAACAATTGAAAACCTTTAATATATTTCATCATCTTATCATCATAACAATAGCTTTAGATGCATATATACTGTCATAAATATCGGTAAACTGAAGCCCCATCCAAATTCTCAGTTTATTGCTTCCTTACCTTTTAAGGTATGTACGTGTTAATACATAATAGTTTCTTTCATAACGTTTAAGTTTTTACATACATATTTCCTGTTTTTGATAAAATGGACTAGTAACTGATGAAATTGTCGAAGGTATTCGGTTTTAAAACCTTGTCAAACCAGCCTGGATGTTTTTTAAATTCTCTAGTAAGTGAATGAAATTAACTTACGTATCATGTTATTGCCATTTCGAGTGACCATCTTATACCTAGTAAAACTAAAATCTAATTTTGCACAATATTTAAACTGTTGGTTCTAATACACCATAGTTAGGCTTCTACTATAGACCACAATTGCACCGCCGACTACATAGAATATCCGTTGCTAATAGAAAACCTTTTTCCTTTCCTTTCATTTGCCTTTGTTATCTCCATTTCCATAGTTTACACAGCCTTTTACTTTGGAACCATTGTTAGCTTCGCTAAATTGCGTACTGTTGCAAAACGTGATAATTTAATCCTCTACGTCTATGAGTTTTGTATGTTCTGTTCCTCGTGTCTTAAATTAAACCATCTCCTGGGATTATCGTCACTTCAATACTTAAACGTTATCGTTGACAGTTTGTTATACTCAAGTATTTAAGTAATAGAAAGTTTTACAGTTCCTTTTTTGAGAGTTAAGTTTCGGGAAATACTGTATACACTGCATGGCTTATTTGTTCCCAAATATTTATTTTATCACATATTATTTCTTGATAAAATATAAAATCATGTTGAGTGTTGTTCTTTTTCTTGTTTTATCACCTGGAGAATTTAGGTCTGATAACAAGTTTGCATATGTATTTAAGTGATAAATGAAATTCATTTGTGGGAGCTGTAGTTATTTCAGTATATTGCACTTATAATTAATATTGTTTTTATCCATAAAATACAGTACATCAGAGTGTGTTTCCTGGTTTTGTCCCTGGTGGGACACCAAAACTAGCACAAAATTCTGTGCAAAGGGTTGCTTCTGTTAAAGCTGTTTCCGAAAACATTAACGGTGATAATCGTTTTGGTTTGTCCGGCTCTTGGCAGGTAGCCATTCCTCCTTCATCTGCATTAGGTTCTCAACAAGAAATTGAAAAGGTAAGAACTGCTCATCATGTCATGCATATATTTTTGGATTTTTTAAATAAACCATACGTCACTTGTTTTTTGTTTTATTACAGTAGTGTGTAAAATGGTATTAGGGCTAGATTATCGTTTTAATTTTGTAACTTGATTGGTTCAACATCATAATAAATCAGTTAATTCAACACATAAATTCCAAAACGAAATTTTATGTAAAATTCGATCTGATATGATAAGTTTGACTACAAACTGTTTAAATACTGGGGAGTCAATTAATTTCAATTTATCAGTTTCGATTGTTTGTTTAAACTTGTTGATAAAATTTTAATTTCCAAACTTAAATACATATAAAAATGTTCGAAATTTAAGCATGTGATAGTATTCTAGCATCAATTAGGATAAATCGCTAAAGTTAGTTAGCCTTTTGAAACCTATGTTCTAGTTTGTGATTCAACAATGAATACCTTCAGCTTTATACAGAACCAACCACTAAACATTCCATTGTCGGTTTGTAGACTGTCAACTCACCATAAAAATAATAAGTCGCCTTTTCACAAACTAGTTAAGCTTTTAAAAATCATGCTACCTAATCAAATTAGTTGTAATTGGGCTATACTCCTACAGATCCAGTTTATTTATTCTATGCATTTCGTGTGCTACTTTATTTTTCATCTGCCTAATATGTATGTTTACTTCGTTAGCCCTTGGCTATCAGGAGTTTTTGAGGGTATATTGTGATTTATTTAATTCAGATGCATATGATGTATCAGAAAGCCTGCCAACTTTATCAGCGTGCTGTAGCTACTATTGGATCAACACCTAATGTCAGCATCCAACCCCCACCTTTCGGCACTCCTATTGGTTCTCCTCCTTCAATATCTCTCCAATCATTTCCACCGACTCTGATGCCTGTTACTGCCGTTGAACGTCCAGCATCTGTGTCTCCGTCCAAATTCATCCCGGCGTCTCAACTTCCTCATGACGTTCTCAGAGATGTACCTAATCAATGCATTGGTCAAAATCCTCATATACCGGCAATTATTCCTAATCACCCACAGTCAGCTAGTATACAGACTGCTTATTCGATGGCGTATTCTTCCGCCTATCAAGAGACTTTGAAGTTTATGTCTAATAATACCGGGAGTAACTTAGCCCCTAATACACAGGAATACACATCTCAGTGGCATCGCTATTTTAATCACTATCTGAATTATTATTTACAAGTTCATAATTATACACCTACGCTATCTAGTGAACAACAACCAGTTTTCTTCCCTCCCACTGGATTACCACCTCCCCCTAGCATTGCATCCTCTGTAAGTTGCAGTTTTGTATATAAACGCTGCGTTATTCTACCTGTGATATATATATATATATATATATATATATATATATATATATATATATATATATATAGGCCTTGATAATTCATCAGTGTTGTGTCTTAACGATTGATCTATATCATTTGCTAAGTTTGCCAGTCAGAGTTGTGGTATTTCCTCTACCCACGCCTAATATTACGTTAATGACCGTCTTAGGTTTTGACCCATGATATGATGCGTTCTAACCAACACAATTCGTCTTGAGCTAACGTATTTTAACTCTTACTGATTCTCCAATATGCATCGTTTGCTATCCCTAACCCTAAGTCCAAAGGGAAAACGAGTCAAACTATTATATCATATTCCAACCATCACAACTCAGGAATTATCCCAAGCATTTATTGGCTTATACACACAAGGAATTGGGTTGCAGTGCACCATAAAATAAAAAAATCGTAGTTTAAACACGTGCCAAAAGTGGTAGTGAAGACGGGCAAATTGTAGGTAGTCGATTGATAACAGTTTAGGAATAATTAGACGTATGGCGATGGTTAGTGAGTCAAATGGAAGTTTACAATAAGCATAATATAGATATGCAATTATACAGTCATCTACTTACTGTACAATAAAAATATGAACAATAATAGTTCGAAAAACAGTCCCGAACCTCATGTTTTAATATTTACTTTACTGCAAGACTAAGCAACCGACTATAGTTGTTGTTTTCCATCAACTAACATCTTTTGTGCCGTCTTAGGAAGCTTTTCCACATTTGTTCAATTCAAGTTGAACCATCATTTTCCCTCCGTTGCTGCTTCGACTTTAAATAAATGCCATTTTACTTTTGAACCTTGATTAACTGCATTTGGTTCTTTTTCTTTAATTTTAGCAAAATATATTTGACAGTTTCAAACTTTCTAGGCGTCTGATTTAACATAAAAAATTCTGCCAGATTATAACATCAAAAAGTGTTATCGTTGTGTAATAATTCTGTTATTACTTGTTAAGCGTATAGTACTTTTTGACGTATAACTATGAATTTTTGCTTAATGATAAGTCATAAAATTAGTGATGATTTGGTGATTTATGCACTCAAATTTCAGTCATAAAATCATAGGTCTAAGTCTTATCCCTTCTATTTCGTTACAGTATCCACTTTCTGTTTATAGTTTCCAAAAGCTCCAAGTACAGGAATCGGTAATTGATTACTAAGTTGCATTGGCTTATTTCTTTATTCCTTGTCTACATATGAAAGTTAAAAAACTTTCTATTACGTTTAATATGAAAATGATTTAGTATTTTTCCGTGCCCTATTAATTCAAGACTGAAGCTCAGTTCTTAACCATTTTTTTCCTTTCCAAGTGAGCTCATCTTATTTACAAGATAAATTATTGTTCCTGTTACGGAGATGTACTATGTTTATTGATTTTTACATCACCCAAAATACCACCGTTCAAAATAATTAAGATATTGGATTAATTCAACCTATCATATGTACTTGATGGTTCTTTACATTCAGTTGTCACGATTAAGTATATTTTATTTCTTTACAGTGTGCCAATGATCTAGTTTTTCAATCTAAGCGAGATTTTCATAACCATCATGACTCTAAGCGCCTATGTATATCGTCTAACGAGGGTCTTCATCGTATTTCTACTGTACTCCATCCTGAACATTCCAATCGCTCTAGTTCCCCATCTGATTCAAAAAATGTAATAAACGATGGATCAAAAAGCGATCGTAAGTGATTGAAATTTATCCAAATATACTGCTCTAGCTTTTATATGTATATAATTTTGAAACTGAGTTCACAATGCCAATGAAAACAATATAGCCTTTGGAGTAGATCATTTTACCTAGAAACAGCATAATGGATGATCTTTATCGTATGTAAAGATTATATATTTTCCCGACAATTCTTTATTTTATTGACTCAATTCTCGTGTTGTCTCATTTATCATTATGGAGGTTATTATTACCCACTAGAGTTTACTCATTTTTGCTTGAATAAGACGAAAGTTGTTTCGGCGGTGAAAATATGTGATTGAATTATATCACAAGTTAACTTTTATTGGAATTCGTGTTCATTTAATTCGGACCCTTTAATGCATTGATAATCTTCATTACAAAAGTTGAGTACTCTAAATCTGTCGAACAGTTTCAAGTAATAACGAAGTTTTTTTCAAATAAGTTGATGAATAATTATTGTAATTTAACTGCTATTACCTGGGTCACAGACTCTATACATAATATATTATTCTTCAGGGTCTGGTTCACCTAAACCTTTTTCGTGTTAAACTAATCCCTCCCAGTCGTTATATATAACCACATATTTGAGTATACTTTCGACTTCCATTTATTTTCGTAGTATCCTCGTCAAAGTATTTATGGATAAGCAATCTCCCTCAAGGTGTTCGAGCAGTAGATATTAAAGAAATGTGTGCACCATACGGAAAAGTAAGTTGTTTGTTGATACTGTAGTCTTATTCACTGCGTCTTTTATCGATAACAATTACTGCTTTCTTAGAATCTAAACTTAGTAACATTTGAGCTGCAGTTCTTATTTGAAGTAATTGATAAAACGGAAAAAGAAAACTGCATAATGGTCGTAAATATTCTTTAATTATGTGTTTATCAATTATCTGATTAATATTTCATGTGGTTTAGGTCATTAAAGTCAAACGAGTACGGTTTATTACGTTCAGGATGTTTTATACTTTTAAAATTATCCATCAGCCAATGTGTTGTCACACTGTCGTATAGCCAGTTAATTTCCTGTAACAAGCATTTTTTTGTTATTGACTCTTACGTTACCCTAAAGACTGTTAATCACACTGTACAGGAGTAGTGGGCTAGTAGTTAAGGCGTTCGATTTTCAGCTATTAAACCAAGTACTTGGTCACAGCTGTTGCTCCTGCTTCAGTTCAGGCAGCCGAGTGGTATCAATAGCCCTCACAATTAGAGTGTACCTCATACACAAGTGCCTTAGTGAATGAGTTAATTCAAAAATGTTGAGTCGTCAATGGACTTCGCTTTCTAAACTACTAAGTGAGGCTTAAATCTGATGAATAACGGAAGTTATATATATATATAAACACAAGATATTTAAACAGTATTGTTTTGATTGTATAGATCGGTTATACTTACCATCTGATGATAAAAGGCGAATATGATCATTTGATGTCTTGTGCATTTGGCAGCCTGGCTGCTTTTTGCTAACAAGCATCATTTGAAATCATATGATTACAGCCTTACTGATGGTTACTTTTAAACATAATTTTGTTTTATGTACGTTAAAATGTAAATAAGATTCTCAACGTGGATTTTTTTCTAGGTTCAAACAATAAAAATAGTAGGCAGTAAAAAGAGTAAACCCCCATCTATTTACGCTTATCTCATTATGGAGACTTCGGAGGCCGCAGTCCGTCTTATAAAAGCCTTACAAGGTGTGAAGTTCTCTGGAAATGAATTGAAGATAAAACAAGTATGTACTGTCTTAAATTTAGTATTTGATTTATCCCTTTTTCAACACTAATGGAACATTCATGAATTCATTGGTTATCTTGACCAAACCTAATAATCAGTATTATGATTGAGTCCGTTTCATATCAGCGGCAATTATGGAATTTCTAATAGTCCTTCAAATCTTTTAAAACCAATACAAAGGATTCTGTCAAAGTTGTGAAAACTATTTACAAATCTGATTATACATTAAGCCAATCGGGACTCAATGAAAATTTTTCTGAGATTGTACTATTTCAGATAGTCGCTAAATTCGGTCCTTAGTGAATGTTCGAATATATCTCAAAAAGAAAAGTTTGTGGTGTAAAGTTTCTGTTGATAAAAAAACCTATTGAAAGGGAATTTTTCCAATCTATTCGTTATTTTACTAAATGTCTAAAAAGAAATTTTAACTATACTGAGATCTGAGCAATAGTTTGGGTTAAAGGTTCTTAATGCATATTTGAACTACACCTCAAGGCTCAGTGAAGCGAAAATAAATGTTTATTTTATGAGTGTGCGGAAAGTAATCTGCATCAAAAGTATATTAGAAATCTTTACTTCGATTTGAAGTTCGATATAATTGACTGACTCAAACGTTATGCGCTAAATCAAATTGATTCTCTAAATTTATATATTAATGAAATCTTTAAAAAATATCAAGAAAGTTGATGCTATTGAAGAACCTCCTGCTAACTTAAAGGAACGATTTTTGAACCATGTTAAGATGATGGTTTATACAGGAAAAGTAAAACCTAAACAAACAGATTCCAGAAATAAAATTCCCATCTTGGTATATACGCAATTTTTCCACTGTTAATCTCAATAAGATTGAGTTAAAAGCGTTATCATTAGGGCCAAAGTTTTGTGACTTAAAAAACAGTTAATAAAATTGACGTTGAAATTGAAATTGAAAACCTTTATGTCCAAACTGCAGTCAGTAATTCCATCAAAAGATTATTATTTTATTTTTATTTTAACACATAGATATTTGTACAAAGAGGCACCAAATACATATGCGCCACACAAATCTCATTTGATTTCTGTAAGGGCTGTGATACTGCCCGGGTGCCCAAACCGAAGGAGGTGGTTTTCTTAGGGGGCCACACCCGGAGCCTTCGACCTGAAGGTCTGATCCACAAAACAGTGGAGTATCGTCAGGAGATGCAGTCTTATGGAAGCCGGTGACCAACGATTGGTTCTAAGGCCATTTGTTCCTTCAGGATACTGCAGTCCATGTGCACCATTGGCTTGGAATTAGGGTTTTCCAACTTCTCTAGGTGGACTCTCCATGTCCACCAACCCGGTTAAAGCACCGGACATTCGCTTTTCGTTCTCTAAATTTCGTAAACAACACCCGTGGTGCGAGAAGGCAGTGAGTAGAGGCTATATACGCGTGGCCATGTGAGAGCATTTCGAGAGGGAGAGCGGACTCTCCCCACTCTCGGCCGTACCAGGGCATTTGGGGGCGCCTAAATGATAAGCATAATTCGAAGATGATTTTGACAAAAAGTCACAAGCAAAGTTTACGGAAACATGAAACTGACGTCAAGTCTTTGATCACGAATCCAGACAAAGGTCATGGTTTATTGCTAATGGATAAAAGCGACTGTTTGAACAGAGTGAAGGCCGTTTTAAATGATAAGAGTAAATTTCCGAAACCGGTAATTAAGAGTAGTACGGTAAACGGGATTGAAAGACCTACAGAAAAAATATCACCAATATTATATAATCTGTCAAAAATATATCGAGGTGACTTGTCCTGTTGTGGCTAATTTCCTCTATATCTGACTCCAATAAATGATATCTCGTTAACTGAGTATTTAAGGTAAGCTAAATCTCCTAGTAGAATTATGGATTTACTCGAGATTATTCAGAAGCCTGAACATCAGTTGTGGAGATATTTTATTATTAAAGATAAATAAAATCCTCAAGCGTACAGCGAGCAAGCACACTGTGAAACCAAGAGCGCGCGTGTGTGTGTTAAAAATCCATATATATTTTTGAGTGTCAATCAAGTGTGGATAAATCATTGATTATGTGTATCTTACAACCAATACTTACTTACTTACGCCTGTTACTCCCAATGGAGCATAGACCGCAGACCAGCATTCTCCAACCCACTCTGTCCTGGGCCTTCTTTTCTAGTTCCATTCAATTCTTGTTCATGTTTCTCACGTCTGTCTCCATTTCTCGGCGTAATGTGTTCTTTCGTCTTCCTCTTTTCCTTTGGCCTTGAGGATTCCATATGAGGGCTTGTCTTGTGACGCGGTTGGGTGCTTTTTTCATTGTGTGTCCTATCCACTTCCAGCGCTTCTTCCTGATTTCTTCCTCCGCTAGGATCTGGTTTGTTCTCTCCCACAGTACGTTGTTGCTAATAGTGTCCGGCCAACGGATCCGAAGTATTTTACGTAGACAACTGTCAATAAACACCTGTATTTTCTGGATGATGGCTTTCGTAGTTCCCCAGGTTTCTGCCCCATACAGTAGAACTGTCTTGACATTTGTATTGAAAATCCTGACCTTGGTGTTAGTTGACAGTTGCTTTGAGTTCCAGATGTTCCTCAGTTGTAAATATGCTGCTCTTGCTTTGCCGATCCGCGCCTTCACATCTGCATCAGATCCACCGTGTTCATCAATGATGCTGCCCAAATATGTAAAGGTTTTTACATCTTCCAAATCTTCTCCGTCAATTGTGATTGGATTGGTGCATGCTGTGTTGTATCGGAGAATCTTGCTTTTCCTTTGTGTATATTGAGACCTACTGCTGCTGAGGCTGCTGCCACACTGTTCGTCTTCTCCTGCATTTGTTGTTGCGTTTGTGATAGAAGGGCCAGATCATCTGCGAAGTCTAGATCGTCCAACTACATCCTAGATGTCCATTGTATCCCATGTTTCCCTTCAGACGTGGACGTCTTCATGATCCAGTGGATCACCAGGAGAAAGAGAAAAGGTGAGAGTAAGCAACCTTGCCTAACACCGGTCTTCACTTTGAACGACTTTGTCAACTGTCCTCCATGCACGATTTTGTAGTGTAATCCATCATATGAGTTCTGTATGATATTGACGATCTTCTGAGGTACGCCGTAGTGTCGAAGAAGCTTCCATAGTGTTGTTCTGTCCACGCTATCAAATGCCTTTTCGTAGTCAATGAAGGTGGTGTAGAGTGATGAATTCCATCCAATTGATTGTTCCACAATGATCCGTAGAATTGCGATTTGGTCTGTACACGATCTATCCTTACGGAATCCTGCCTGCTGGTCACGAAGTTGTGCGTCTACGCAGTCCTTCATCCTGTTTAACAATACCCTGTTGAAGACTTTTCCCGGTATTGAGAGAAGAGTGATGCCCCTGTAGTTATCACAGTTGCTGAGATCGCCTTTCTTCGGTATTTTGATCAGAAGTCCTTCTTTCCAGTCTGTTGGTACTTGTTCCTCATCCCAAATCTTATTGAAAAGAATGTGGAGTATCCTGCTGCTTTGCCACTCTTGATTTGTCTGATGGCCATGCTGATTTCTTCAATTGTTGATGGGCCAACATCGATTGGGATGTCCGTGGGTGCTGCTTCGATGTTGGGTAGGTTCAGTGGAGCTGGTTGATTCAAGAGTTCTTCGAATTGTTCTACCCATCTGTTTCGTTGCTCTTCAATGTTGGTTATTACCTCGCCTTCCTTGCTTTTCACTGGTCGTTCTGGTTTGCGGCGATTTCCAGAGTTTCTTTGTCGTGTCATACAATTGTCTCATGTTTCCTTCTCTTGCAGCCTTTTCTGCCGTCATTGCTAAATCTTCCACATATTTACGTTTGTCGGTTCTGATGCTCCTCTTCACTTGTTTGTTTACTTCTGTGTATTCAGCTTGTGCCTTGGCTTTTTCTGCTCTTGTTCGACTGGTATTGATTGCTGCCTTCTTGTTCCTCCTTTCTTGAATCTTATCCAGTGTATCGACAGTGATCCATTCCTTGTGATGGTGCTTCTTGTGACCCAGGACCTCATGACATGTTGAAGTGATTGCCTCTTTGATCCCCTTCCAGTTGCTCTCCACAGTAGTTCCTTCTCCATTGAGTAGATCATGACAGGCCTGGAACTTGTTGCTGAGGACTATCTTGAATTTGTTGAGTTTGTTAGTATCCTGGAGAAAGGCCGTATTGAACTTTTGTGATATTGTCCGCCCCATTGTCCAGTGCTTCTTGAGTTTCAATTTCATCTTGGCGACCAGCAAGTGATGATCTGATGCTATATCAGCTCCTCTCTTGGTTCTCACGTCCTCTATAGTCCTCCTGAACGTTTTGTTGATGCAGATATGGTCGATTTGGTTTTGTGTAGAGTGATCCGGTGAAGTCCATGTGGTTTTGTGTATGCGTTTATGTGGGAATATGGTGCCGCCTATGACCAGTTTATTGAAGGCACATAGATTTGCAAATCTCTCACCATTTTCGTTCCTTTCTCCCAGTCCGTGTCGTCCCATGATGTCTTCATATCCAGTGTTGTCCGTTCCAACCTTGGCATTGAAATCTCCCATCAGAATGGTCAGGTCCTTTGTTGGGCACTTCTCGATGATTGACTGCAGCCTATTGTAGAATTGATCTTTAGCGTCTTCATTGTAGTCGTTGGTAGGCGCATAGCATTGGATGATGTTCATTGAAATGCCCTCTTTCTTTGTTTTGAAGGAGGCTTTAATGATCCTTGGTCCATGAGATTCTCATCCTATAAGTGCATTTTGTGCTTGTTTGGACAGCATCAATGCAACTCCTTGTGTATGTGGGGCATTTTCTTCTTCATGGCCGGAGTATAACAGAAGCTCCCCTGAAGTTAGTCGTTGTTGTCCAACTTGTGTCCAATGTGTTTCACTGATCCCAAGTACCTCTAGTCTGTATCTTCTCATTTCTGCAGCAATTTGGAAGGCTCTCCCGGTGTCCCACATTGTACGAACATTCCATGTACCTAAATAAATGGTCGCTCTGGTTGTCAGAAGGGGCATTGGCCTCGTAATTTCCGAAGGGATTCGGCTTTCATCATGAGGCGTCATAATTCTTCTAAATGAAGACCTTCTGACTCCCAGGGCAGAGTTTAGAAGGTTTGAATAATTTTTTCTGGTTAGCTTTATTTTAGCGAGTTAGTTTTCTACGGGATGAAGACACTAACCCCATGCCCAACCCTCCTCCTTTATCCGGGCTTGGGACCGGCAGTAGCCCCCGGAGGGACTCCCGTCGGAATTGTTACAACCAATAGGAGAATAGATTAAGGTTGATGTGCAGACACGCGCTCAATCATAAACACAGAGAAATTAACATAGTGAATTTAGTGTCTGAATTACAGTGAGTAGACAAATAATACAGAAGTTGAATGGGCTTGCTACATAAGCTCCCATCCAGAACATTGATGTTTTTATTTACAAAAAAAAACATTTTTATTAACATCTATGTTCGACAATGAGACAAAATAACGGAATTGTTTTAAAAAAAAATAAATGTACAATTTGATATGATGAGTAAGCGTTAAAATTGTAATAACAGCTTGTGTGTTGAAACGTTTTATATCATGCATCTATGAATGTATATTTAACATCAACGAATTGCATCAAGTTAAAATGTAAGCATAATGATAATCCGTGGGGCTAATAAAGAAAAATAGTAATGAAAATAAAGGATTTTTGTGTTTTAAGAGCAACCTCAGGACTTGGTCTAGATAAATATGGTTGTTGCTACATTCCTATCTGGCCAGTGTACTCTTCCTGATCTTGTTGTAGTTCCTGCTGCTGCTGAACTTTGATGTGAAGTATTGTTTGTTGCAGGCAGTTTGTATGGTGCTTGCTCTGTTGCGGGTTTAGACGGTTTTACAGTTGTCTTTTTCTGTGTTCTCTAAAAACGCTGGTTTTACTCTGTCGATGCTAACAGTATCATGTTTACCTGCTCTTTCCACTGTAACCGTTTTACTGTCCTTTCGGATGATTTTAAAAGGACCGTCGTAAGGAGTCTGTAATGGCTGCCGTACTCTATCATTTCTGACGAATACATGTCAGCATTTGTCCAGTTCATTGGGCACGAATGGCCTTAATTTTTGGGTTTGTGGTTCAACGAACCTAATGGATTCCATCTGCTGTTTTAATTGTTGCACGTAGTTGATTATATCTGCTGGAATATCTGTTGCACGGCCAAAAAAACGCACCAGGCAAACGTAACGTTGTTCCATAGACCAACTCAGCAGAACAACAACCGAGGTCTTGTTTGATGGTTGAGCGAATGCCTAATAGTATCAAAGGGAGCTTGACATCCCATTTGTAATTTCCTCCTGCGGCCGTCAAAGATGCTTTTAACTGTCTGTGGAACCTTTCTATCATTCTATTAGCAGCCGGATGATAAGCAGTGGTTCTAATTCTCTTTATACCGAAAGTATTTGTAAGTTGCTGAAATAGTTTGCTTGCAAACTGAGTTCTACGGTCGGTCGTAATTGTTGTAGGGACACCGAAGTTTGTAATTCAGTGTTTCACCAGTTTCTTCACCACTGTTGATGCCGACGTGTCTTTTAACGGAACAGCTATAGGCCATCTCGTAAATCTATTTATACATGTTAGTATTTGCGTGCAACCACTGGAAATTGGTAACGGTCCAACGATGTCGACATGAATGTAGTCGAACCTAGCGCTAGCGGCGGGAAAAATCCCTGTAGGAGATATGATATGTCTATTTACCTTTGACTTCTGGCATTGGAT